CTTGTGTAATACTGTGTAGAAGTAAAGTAAAACAAGTAATTACGTTACATCCATTCTAGGAACCAGTATTTATTGCTTAGATAACCGAAGTAGAATGCGGTTCTACACTTAAGAACTAAGTTAGTAGAAACTATAGTCGGGGGTTCTTATCTTATTCTAAACTACATTACAAGGTTACTGAACCGTTTCTTATATGATTAAAGTCTAGTGGATAAAAATAGTTCTTTATAAATCAATCTTTTTTTAGTATCTATGTATTCATGACTACTTCCATTGCCGATATTCCATTAAAACTAGAACGAAAGATGGGCATCAGACGTATTTGTTATGCAAATTATCACTAGTTTATGCCTAAACTATATAAAAGAAATCGGGATCTACNTTATTAATGTTATAAAAGTTTGGTTATTTAAAAAGTGGAAAGAAATTTTTTTCTTTTGAAGGATATAAAGAGACATTTTTCTCTTTAGAACCGAATGAAAAATGGCTTTATACTTGACATTTGAACAAAATTAGAATATGCAAATTGGAAGAATTTTATTCCGGGTTCATAAAAATGGCACCAGTTGTTGCTAGCTTATATTAATGTGTCCAGTTTCATAATTTTTGTAAGTCACGTGTACTAAATAATAATTAAATATTAGTAAATTGAATAAGAGAAGAAGAAAAAAATATATATATTTTGGAATGAAAAATGAGGTATATGTTTAGTAACATTAATCAAATTCCTTCTTCCAACATTAGATACACCGAGTTCAAAAATCATTGGGATAAACTTTTAAAAAGGTTCTTTTCGTGTTTCGAGACAAGTCGATCCGGTTTGGGCCAAACGTCGAACACATTCCGAGTTAAGTTTTTGGATCCCTGTTGTGTCTACGACTGTTTAAAATTCCTGTCTGAAACACAACTTCGTGTTGTGAGACTGGCTGCTAGTTTAATCTTCACTCTCTCACTTACGATCTCCATATTAAATCAAAGAACTTTACTTATTTAAAAAGAAAGTCTAAAATATTTATATATAACACTGCATAAAATCTGAAAAAAAAAATGTTTAAAAAATACCTAGTTTTAATGATAAAAATGGGCTAAGAATTAATGTTTATATCCATTTCTTAATTGAAAACTTAACACTTTTAAGCTGTAGAGCACTGAAGGATATTAGATGCGAAATTATTGATGGAAACCGAGAAAAATGTTATTTAATGTTGTCTAAATAATGTATATACACAAACATATTAAATTTATTAAATTAATATTTAATTATTATATGTTATAAATAAATTTTCTTTCTTCTCCTACTCCCAAATGGAAGAGACTAGATCTTATGTCAATTGAAATAAACTGGAATTGAATGTGTTTTTTTTGAATTTAAAATCGATTTTAAATAATAATTCTAAACAAATTTTAGTTTAGAAAATTATTTTTAAGACGAATTTTGTAAGCGGTGACAAAATTTAATTTAAATAAACGAAAAATCGAAGAGGACTTCAAAAAAAAAAAAATCCTTATAAAAATTTCACCGCAGAAAGATCATTTGTAACATTGCCAATTCTATTTTTTTTTTTAAATCATAATAAAAATTTTACTAATCGTAAAAACATATTTGAAATTTTTATATATAATCTGCATTATTTAATTTTTAAAAAAATTCGAATAATTTATCCAGAGGGAAAAAAAGCTGATTTGTACACTCGAATGCCTTCAAAGATTATTTTGTACACTTAGAAAATCGTTACTTGTGTAATACTGTGTAGAAGTAAAGTAAAACAAGTAATTACGTTACATCCATTCTAGGAACCAGTATTTATTGCTTAGATAACCGAAGTAGAATGCGGTTCTACACTTAAGAACTAAGTTAGTAGAAACTATAGTCGGGGGTTCTTATCTTATTCTAAACTACATTACAAGGTTACTGAACCGTTTCTTATATGATTAAAGTCTAGTGGATAAAAATAGTTCTTTATAAATCAATCTTTTTTTAGTATCTATGTATTCATGACTACTTCCATTGCCGATATTCCATTAAAACTAGAACGAAAGATGGGCATCAGACGTATTTGTTATGCAAATTATCACTAGTTTATGCCTAAACTATATAAAAGAAATCGGGATCTACGTTTAAAAATTAGAGTTTTATTTTATTAAAATATTTTAGAATTCATTTATTTATGAGTGTTTCATTCAATTGCTGATATTCCAACTAGAATTAGAGATAGAAGTGAATGAATTCATTGGAGAAAATCCAATTCATGTTTAAATTTTCAACGAAAAAAATAGAATTTATATTTCTACAGCTAATCTATTTTTAAATTTGTTAGAAAATTTAGAATCAATGTCTCTATTGACGATAGCACAAGTTGAGAGATGAGAAAAAGAAGCATTCGTTATAGAAATCGATCGGTAATTTATGTTTAAACTCTCAAAAAATAATGTAAATAACTGAGTTTTCTTTGATATTTCTGAAATAAATTTACACTCAAACGATTGGAAAGATGGAAGAAAATATAAATTTGTGCATATTCTTAGAAAAAAAAAAAAATCAACTCGATTATCTTGCAGATGTCTTGTATGTAAAATTCTCATCAATAGACGTATTATTGATTTAGAAAACATCCTGTTTTTGTAAGGTTTCTGGATAATGTTTCTTCAATGGTTACAAGTTTTAGATGATGTTATTTGATACCTTTAAGAATAACCTATTGTTTTTTGGAAAAGTAAATGAAAATCTAGATCATAAACCGTTTTCATTATCCAAAGTTGTTAGAAAATGTCTTTTGAGAATATCTTCGAAGACATTCATCTCCACGCTCTACTTTCTAGAACTTCTTTTTTTTTCTATTTTAGATCGACAAGATTTCGTTATGCCATTAAAATTTTATGGATATGAGATTTTTTAACATTTAGATTTTTTTTAGATAAAAATTGGATTTTTGTAAATGATGCATGTAACATTTTCTTCCTTGGCTCAAAAATATTATTATTTTTAATCTAAAAGATTGCTTTGCAACTAGAAAAAGAAAGGAAAAAAATAAACAACACTTAAAAGTATTTTTAGAGGTTATTTCTAAGAAAATCTTAGTCAAAACTAATTAAAAGTCTTAGAATTGTATGGAAGGAATTGTATTGATAAGTGTACAAATGTTTATCATCAGTTCTCATTTAAACAAAGCTAACTAACTACTTGAGTATTTTTTGAAAAAAGCAGTAATGATAACAACAAAAATGAATTTAAACACATAAAAATTACAAAGTTAATTATTCAACTTATAACACTTTTTTTTTTAGTAAATTTAATATAAAGAATTTAGTGAAAGTTAAGAAGAGTAACGAATTCTTAGTTGGAATGCTCATTTTCAATTGTATTCGTTAAGCTTTTATCCACACAAGAGGAGATAGGAATCTCTTTAAATGTATTTACTTTCCCACACTTTAGCTAAACTTAGGCTATTTATTGGATATAGATGTCATTCTGGTATTCGACACAATAATTCTTTCCATATTTAGAAACGATAATGAAAGATTATACAGCTTCAAACTTAAAGGGTGTACTTAACGTTAATTAAAAACACGTTTATAAACTACTCTGGCTTATTTATATCGTGTTACTAAATTTTACAACGAAAAAAATCATGCTTCTAGTTTTGAAATTTTTTTTTTTAATTTTCTAAAAGTGCAATTGCCTCATTATTATCGAAAATATTTTTTAGACATGTCATTGAAAAATGAGTAGTTTAGATGATCTATTATTTGGAGTATTTTTATGTTATAATCATTATAATATAATGGTTTCTAATTTAATTTTATAAAAATTCATGTTATAGTATTTAATTTATTCTCTTTTTTTTAAAATATTCTTTAGTGGAATTTAAAATATATAATAGAAACAAACGTCAATTAAAAAGAAAAAACTTCAACAGTATTCATTAAAATTAAAGATATTATTTTTGATGTTTTCTTCTGAAACCATTCTATTATGAAAAAATCTTAAAAATTTATAATTACAATCTATCTTCAAAGATTAATTCTCTTAGGAATTCAATACTTTCATAAATTTCTAATTATTTTCCATTTATTATTAATCCTTCCTTTTTTTATAATAAAAAAAAAATACAAGAGATTTTTAATTAAAAAAAATATTTAATTAAAGTTAACATGATTATATTAAAAAAATATTTTTTTTATTTTTGTAAATGGAAAATGGTAATGCAACTTTGTGATTAATTAAGTACAGATTTAAATTTAAAAACACCACTAAATAATTTTATGTATTTGATTTATTTCTTTAAATATTTATCAAGGATGTTAACTTCGTTAAATTTATGTAACAAAATTGCCAGTAAAAGCTAATGCAATATTGCAAATGAAGCATTAGCTGACAGATAATATACTTCAACATTGTGTATGTTCAATATTCATTTTCCTAGATCTTAAGGGTTAATTCTATTTTATATAAATTTTTTTTACTTACATCACAGACAAACCATTATTTGATAAGTACATTCATCTTTCCAGTTCTTATTTTCTGTTAAAACTCCAAGTACAAGATGTTAGCTTAATAATAATTTTAAATTCTCAATTATTATTATCCATTTTATCATTTTTTAAAAATCTGTTTAAACTTTTTCCTCCATTCTTTACTTTTATAATATACAAATGATTGGAAGCATATTTAGGATGTAACTTACAATTTATGGCAAATCTCAGAAAAATATCAAAGATATAAATGTAAAATTTTATATATATAAAATAATTATTATTTTGCATCGGCTTATAAAGTAATGATGCCAATTATATGTTCTGTTGTTAATTTGCAACATATGAAATTATTTTATAAAATCTTTTAATTATATTTACTAATTAGAATGTAGCTTGCAAACACTTGTAAAGTTTGAATTGTCATCGATTCATTGTGTTATAATTATTTCAATGTAGGCTATGTTTAATATTGTAATTTGTATATAAAAATTATTTTTAAAAAATAAATATAAAAAAAATATATATATTTATATTGATTTTATATGATTACATTTAATATACATTATTGATTTTATGTAATTTCATTCTTAATAAACAAACTTTTGCATTAAATTTAAAAATCAATCGAGAAACACACAGAATTAATATTACAGAAGATAATTCTACATAAAGCACTATTTACATTATGACTTGTTTATAAATTATTATAAAGATATTAAAATCAATAAATTTTTTTAGCAATTGAATTATAAAGGCTGATTTACAACATACTGCATATTAATTATTGTTGAAATTTTTGTTTTTACATAAATCTGTTTTGCTTTTAAGAATTTATTAAATATTTGAAATTAATTTACAAAACAGATGCATTCTAATTAAATGAAGGACAAATAGCTTTAAGCAAGATAAGAGAAATAATAATGTTTTGTCATTTTGACTTTCTTCATTTAGTTTCGCAAAGCTTCCAGGCGTTCCTGCATTTCTGTAACATCAGTGTCTTCAGCATCCACTGCACTTTCTGCTTCTGCCTCTTTTTCTGCTGGTAAGGATTCGGTGACGGCAGCGGGTGCTTCACCAAGTTGTCCTATAAATAAATTAATAATAGCCATCAAAAATTAAGTATAACAAGAACTTATACAAATATTGAAGTAAATTTATCTTGAAGTATAATTTATTATATATTATGTATTAAAAAATACTTTGAAATGTGCATAAGATATGACTTAAATATTTAATAATTATGAAATAACATGTTAAAACAATCTCAAAAAGAAAAAATGCCAAATACAAATTTATTTTTGAAGAAAAAGTTATCTAGATCAGGGGTGAGCAACCTTTTTAAATTGTAGGCAAAATAAAATGTGAATATGTATGTATATATGTATTAATGCATGGAGACCAAATTTTCTACTTTTTACAATTTGTAATCAGCTTAGTTGACAATTCAATCATGATCAACAAATAGATTGAAAACAGTCAAAAAGAACACAGACACACAAAAAAACATATCAGGCAACATATATAGAATTGGTATATAATAAAAAGTTATAATACACCTAATTATACAATTGCTATATTACTCAGTATTCTGTGGACTGTTTATTATACAGTATATATTTTGAAAATTATAACAGGCTAAATTACATATGTTTGAGGACCAGAATTAGCCCATGGATGTAGATTGCCCACTGCTGATCTAAATGTAACTATATAGATTATCTAAATATACTGTTTTGTGACTATATACAATATAATTTAATTTTTAATTACAAAATAGAAATTCATCAGACTACTAAGTACAATCAATAAAGCTTTTAACATCCAGTACAACTTTGATGTAAAAATTGACAAACAGTTTTAATCTTAAACAAGATCTGCATCAGGTCAACAATGATATTTTAAATTGGAATTTGTAGAACAAAAAATAATTTTTTTCGAAAATTTCAATTTAGAATATCATTGTTGATCTGGCACAGATCTTGTTTAAGATTAAAACTGTTTGTCAATTTTTACATTAAGGTTGGTTACTGGATGTTTTGTTGATTGTGCTTAGTAGTTTGATCTAGTTATTGTGTAGAAGATAATTTTATTCAATTCATCAAAAATAAAACTTTCTTTTAATAAAGAAAATTGACATTAAACTGTTTCCATATAAATATATTACTATAAATATAATACATAAATTAAACTGGTGTCTAAATCAATCGCAATTGTTAGCTCAAAATTTTATTTTAGGTTTATGACTCACCTAATAAGATGACTCCCAAAGATTTATTAGAAACCAACAACTACCTACAATTAACCATTAACCGATGCGAAATTCTTTAAAATCAGCAAACGTTTTCGATTCCCCTCCTGGGATCTTCTTCAGGCTTACTTCTTTATAGCTTTCGTTATAACCGGATTCTTTAATTCGAATGTTTTTTCGAATTAAAGAATCCGGAAAAAACATTCGAATTAAAGAATCCGGTTATAACGAAAGCTATAAAGAAGTAAGCCTGAAGAAGATCCCAGGAGGGGAATCGAAAACGTTCGCCGATTTTAAAGAATTTCGCACCGGTTAATGGTTAATTGTAGGTAGTTGTTGGTTTGGAGTATATACAACCCGGTGTGGTAAGAAAGCACATTAATTAGATTTATTAGAATATAAATAAAATGTGAATATGATTTATGGTGTTTCTATTCATCATGCATTGCAGCTATTTGTCTTAAAAAATTTACTTCTACAATACAATTTACAATACATATTGTTTTTATATATATATAATTCTAACTTTCCTTCTATAATTGTCCGATTATATAATAAAAAAAATTAAATATCTCACAAAATTTAAAATGCACATAAATGCCGAATTACCACACACTACCAATTCTTAATCATACATGTAATGCATAAATTCACAAATTTAATATAGAGGCCATAAAATAAATGTTCAAAACACTGCATATAAATTTATTGACCATAATGAAAGTTAGCTGTCATTTCTTTGATTGTTCAGGTTACAGATAGGATTGTTATTTGCAGCTATATCATCATCTAATGACTGATACAAATTATAGCAATTATGTTTCATTTAAATCAAATATTCTATAACAAAAACTTTGGATATGTTATTAAATGTTTTTTATTTTTACAAAATTCTTTTCCCATTTATAAATTAAATAAGTTCTCTCTCTTTATATTCAAATTTATCCTATTGTAAATTATATTTTATTATGACTCAATTGCTATGTTTATGAATGATTGACAGAGTGACTAAAACTTTATGCATTTAATTATATGAGTTTAATAATAATACCAGTAATAATAACAGTCTCCATATCTATGATATTATGACTTGTAGTTTTAAGCGAAGACTTTTTTAAATAGAAAGTAAGAAGAAAAAACTTTTCCCACTTGGCAGCATCAAGAGACTAGTAAGTGCAGACTAACAACATGTTATTAAAGCATTGTTGTTAACCTAAGAATCCATAAAATACAGGTAACCCCCGTATAACACGGTAGTTACGTTCCAAAAAATTGCCGTGTTATGTGAATCCGTGTTATAAAACAAAGAACTAATACGAAAAGGAGGGTTAGGTTCCAAAAATTAAAAAACATGCTAGTATATTTTCATAATTAAGATAAATATCTTCATTAAAATTTTTTTAAGTGATACATATTAATATAAATTAAACAATATTTTCTTCATCATCACTAAAAACACTATTAATTAACCGAGAGCGTTTTCTTTTTGCAAGTTATCCTTATCCTCTGAGCATTTTTCTGCATTATCTTCAGATCCATGGTTTACCTTTTGCAAAATGTATGTAATTTTAGATTGCTTGCTTCTAGTTAAAAGATCTTTATAAATTTCCTTATATGGTGCTAAGCACTTATGAAGAATAAAGCAAGTATGGAATAAGGGAAAAACATTCGGCAACATCAGAAGCAGAAGCGTCGCGATCTGGCAACATTGAAACAAGTTTCGAGACGGACCACGTGTATCGACAGAAGGCGAGAAGAGAAAATTTACATACTTAAGTACTAATAGTTCACAAAAATAATAATTTTCGTGCACTATTATTACTTAAGTATGTAAAAATTTATTACATTTCGTGTTATACGGGGGATGGTACCAATTCTCGAACCGTGTTAGAGCGAATCCGTGCTATAGAAGTGCCGTGTTATACGGGGGTTACCTGTATATACAATAAAATAAAATGTTACCATTAGTTCATAGCTTTTAAATATAAATATTTTTCAGTTATTTTGTCATTAAAAGTGAATTAGAGGAAGCATACTTAATATTTAAGTAATGTGTACTTGAGGAACACTTGAGTAATATGTAAAATTAATTACAAATTAGTAACATAAATAAATATAATTTTTTGAAATCATCGAATAAATCATTGTTTGTTTATATTGTTTTTAATTTATATTTCTGCTCTATATTTTTGAATGGAAATTTATTTATTTATTTATATAATAAAATGAATCTTTGAATAAAATGTTAAAACTTAATATTAGATGTACCTTCTAAGAACATATTAGAAAACTAATCTTTAATAAATTATTTATCAACTTATAATGACTTACACAATAATTATATGTAAACAGTTTAGTATATGTCATGTTTAAATTATGTTTTTTTCATTTAGGAAGCCACACTCCAATTCAAGTTATCTTTTATTTGGGCAAATGCATTTTGGGTATTCTTTGCTCCTCTTCAGTCACATTTTAATTTTATTACAATACTTTTTAAAGTTTTAAGTTATTCATAAGTTTTATTAAACATATATAAAAAAATATGCAAGTGAAGAAAGAAAGATTAAATTGTATTATATATACACAATTAAATATAATATGCAATAAAATTTGTAAGGTAATTACCATCACAAAAATTATTTTGACTTTTCAATATAATAATGTATTATAGGTATAAAAATGCATAATTTTTTTCCTCATTCTAAAAATTAATGAATAAAGTTTATATGAAGCATATTGATGTTATTCAAGGTTAAATTTATAAGAAAATTAAATAAGCTACAGCTTAGAGCCTCATGACATTGCAGGCCTCACTCTAGCCTCCAAAAAAAGAGTATACAATATCAGTGGCATGCTGTCCATGGAAGATGTGGAAGCACTGTTTCCCTTGTATTTTCTAAAATATAAATACATATTGTGTAATTATTTTCATATTTTGATGTACTTTGAATTAATTAAAATTAATATTTTATTATAACCTCATTATGTATCTTATTACAAATTTCTATACTACATGTGAAAAAAATGATAAGATTGCTATTGTATATTTGAATATAAATTCATATATGCATATTCCCAATGGAAGCACTGTATTGTCGAATATGGGACAGCTTCCATGGCGAAAATATTTGAATTATGTAAAGCAGCCAGATTTTATGCATTCGTGCATGTTCTTTACAAAGCACTAACCTCACACAGTTTAGCTTATGGTTGCTACACACCAAAATATCATATAATGCTTCCAACGATTCTACCCAGGGCCAGCACAACTTCCCTATCATCAAATGTCACTGCATGCCACTGTACAATATCAAGTATTATTTGATGGAGAATGTGGAGTTTTTTACAGCTATAACAAGTTTAAATCCAGTTGTTATTATTATTATATTTACATCTCTTTATATTCATTTATAAACAAGTTTATTGACCTTTAATATATTTGTTTATTCTATTGCTTTAAATATCAATATAATTAATTGCTTGTTGATGACTTAATTACATAACATGTTAGCAGGAAAATTTAATCTATTAAAAATGATATTTGACACTATGTTCATTGTTTTTCTGAATGATGTCACTCAAGTTTTTTAGGATTTTTTTTTCCAATACTTATGGCTAAAGATAAACTATAGATAAATACTTATTTATCTATTTTAATAATTTTGATTAGTGCTTTAAATTTAATGTTTATAAAAAAGAAATTTCTTGCTGACTTTAGAAGATATAAATCTTCTGAAATGATCTAAGACAGAATTAGTAACAATAACAGTAGTTCCAATTTCAAGATCTCTATCTAACAATTTAGGAAGGTAATTAATCATAAATATTAACATCTTTCAAGAACAATATATCCTCTAGTCATCTGTCAAGAAAACACCTTTGGAAAATCATTACTTTTAAAGATTGATTATCTTATTTTAATTTATGAGATATAGTTTTTGAATGATATACAACAAGTCATACATGACAATGACTCACTTATTCAAAATTCAAGAATTTTTTTTACTATATTTGTGTTATTTAACAATGTATTGCCATAATGAAAAAATACAACTAATGCTTTTTATTTTTGTATTTTTATAGTTGTACAGATTTATTTGTAATTTTTAGAAATGTAACCAATCCCAAACCATACATTGGCATATCGGAATGTTCCCGATATATTGGTAGCAGTAAATTTTACAAATCAATGCCCCAATCTTTCTTTCAATAGTCACTATTGAAAAAACAAAGAAAAACAAGAGATTGAAACATTAATTTGTAAAATGAATCAATTCTGATATTAGGAACATTCCAATATGCTGATATAGTTGAATCAATTCAGTATCAGTAAACATCTCTAGTAATTTCATATTCAGCTTACAATAAAAATGGTTATTCTGTTTTATATATCTTATTTCATCTTTGAAAAATGACATGCAAATTCTAATTTAAATCTAACTGTATTTTAATTTTATTACTTTGTAATATTTATGTTTTAACTTCATTAATTCTTCAAAAATAAAGTATTACCATTTTATTTCAAGAAATTTCTTGATATAAATTAACAACTATCGTAAAATATTTTAGTTATGCTAATAAAAATTCTAATTAGAACAAAATTAATCAGAGAACAATTTCACAATATATAGAAAAGATCAAATCTCATGAAGCCAATACTTACTTAATAGGTTTAAATGAAGTCAATACTTATATAAGTTGATAACACTTATTTGTTCTGCTTTTAACTACTTAAAAAGATATGACCTTATTATCAATTCTTCAAAAACTTATACAATGCCTAGAGATGGAAATCATGTAAAAGTAAAATCATCACTAAAACTTCTAAACATTATTTAAGTATTTTAAATAATCAACAAAAGGTCATATCTCTCAACCAGTTAAAATTGGAGTAAAAAATTGCATTTTTTTTACTTTCAGTTTTAATAATTTAATAAAAATTTAAAAAGAGCATCAATAATACGAAGAAATTATTTCAGTTATTTTTTATGTCCAAAAAATATTTGTGTTTTATTTTTACTTGTTTATTGAACAATTTTTAAACAAATGCTTTCAGAAGTGGCCAATAATATTTAAAAGCATTACATTAGGAAAAATTAGCTTGGAATAAAGTAATACAAGTGAATTTAAGTAGAATTAAAATCAAGTATTTGTCATTAAATAAAAAAAAATTTTATTTAATATTTTTATATAAACAAAAAATTATCTTTAATAAGATCCTTTTTTCAATTCAAAAGAAAATTTTTTTAATAAACCCAAAATTTTAAAACTAAAATCATCCAACTCAATATTTATGCAAAGAGAAACACATTGTAAAATTATTATTGTTTAGAGATGTTAAAAATTAAGTAAATATAGTTTATCATCATTTAGATTAACTTTGAGTTTAGATAATTCAACAAAATAAATGAATTTATTAACTTTGAAAGATGATATTTCAGTATACAGGATGTACTAAAATGAATCTATCATATAGAAAGTCAAGTATTTTAACTTATAATTAAAATAGCTAACAAAGTTTTTCAAAACATAAGCATTATATATGTTAGTTTAATTTATTTTTAAATTTATAAATGCCATCCATCATCTGCTACAATCAATCTAATCTAACACAGCATTCATATTCATAAAAAGTATTTTCCAGAACTGTCATTGAGACAAATGATGCAACCTCAATAATAATAATTTGCTTAATGACTTATTTTCTTTTTATGTAAGTATATATGACTAAACCATGTATTTAATATCAAATTCTTATAATCTCTTCATTACACAAATTGTAAAAAAAGTCATTTATACTTCTTTTTTATAGATTTATTTTGGGATATCCTATATTTAATTCCAAACTATCAATAGATTAAATAAATATCAATTAAAAGATCTAAAAATATATTTTAAATTCATCTATTCTTGGAAAGAAAACAAAAATTTACTTATCTTTTTTTAGATTAAACTGTGCAATATATTAATGAAAGTTTTAATATTAAACTAATTTTATTTAATACAAGAAATTTTCTACTAGACAAATAAATACAATTCTTTACTTAAGAATCTATTCCTAGAATTCTAATTTTTAACTACCTTCAAAATGTTTTCAGAGCAATTTCAACTCTATTTTCAGGATAATAAAGAAAATTTATTTTTGAAATTTAACTGTAATTATCTATTTAGTGCTTTTTGCAGACAATGCAACAAAGAATGTTTAAAAAATATATATGTATTAAAAATATAAAATGTGTTTGAAAAATGTACTCTCTAATCTTCAGGAATAATAAAGTGCAGTATATTAATATATAAAATAATAATAATAAACTAATAAAATTTACATCACAATATTGAATATATTTTTTAAACTAATGTCTTGGATTAGAATAATTATAAGCATTCCATAATAGGAAAAATGTACATAATGAAATGTTAGCAATATTCTAAAATAATAATACTTCTGAATTGGATTATGTAATCTCAAAAATATTTCAAAACTAGTTTCTTGAATGACATTTATATTTATCTATTGTTATACAGTTGTTTCAATAATGTTGAAAATTTTCAAATAAATTTTATTAAAATATTATTACAAAATTTACCTGCTGTTAATTCCCAAAGAACCTTATCAACTTCTTCCTGTGCTTCATCTTCTAATTCTTGGTCATCCATTCCTTCTAGAGTATCTTCTAACATTTCATCAATGATTCCTGCCTATTATGCAAAATAATAATATTTCTTTATATATATATATATATATATTATTTCAATAGCTTTATTATTTTTAATTTGTAGATAAAATTCAAGTGCTACAATCTATTTTAATAATTATATTCTATATGAAAACACTAATGATCTGATAAATTATACTGGTTTTACTGGCTTAGTTTGTACATTGTAAAATAATAGATTATTCATAATTTGATGATAATCTTATAAATTCAGCATGCTATTACATATAGTTTACATATAGAAAACATTTTATTTATTTTTTTGATTAATAAGGAACTCAATTATATCAATTTAATTTGTTATGAATCAGTGATTTAAGGAGAGTTATCTGATTCCATTTAATATTAAAAAGATAAAAATTAATGTAAAAGGAATATGCTAATGATATTGTGCTAGTTAATGATTCAGTTATGAATTTACAGAGATTAATAAATGTTTTTGGAGTATTTGTCCATAATATGGGTCTAGAGCAGTGGTTGCCAACCTTTCTGACCTCATGGGCCATTAAGCTCACAATTTTAAATCTTGCAGATCACTGTCATGAACTTTTTTTAAACGATACAAACATCTATAGAATAATGATCATAAAAAATTCATTTTACTTTATTTAATATGAAATTTACATGTTTAATTACAACAAATTACTGTGATGTTTGTTGAGGTTTGTTTGAAATAAGTTTATGGATTCTTGGCTCTTTTCCACAAAGAATGACAATCAAGCTCACATTATTTATTGATTTATTGATAACAGTCATTTCATGTTTGGTTTAAGATTCAAATAAAAACCCCTAATGAGTGAGAAAAAACAACCAAGCATTTTGCATTTCTTTTGTAATACTTTGAGTAACCTTAATTTGATTAATGTCCGAATTTCTCCATGAACTACTGGTTGGCGACTGCTGGCTTAGAGTTAGTTTGACTAAATCAAAATTATACTTTTAGGAAAAATGGTGCAGATTCCTTTAAAAAAAAAAAAAGCTTCACAGAGGTAGTAGAGTTGAGGTAATTAATGAAATGAAATATCCAGGTATATTATTTCATTGAAATGGCAAATTCCTTAAATATCCTGACTTAAAAAATGAAATAGGGTTTGTTGTTTAAGATTATTCAGATAAGTATAAAAGGTAGATTGACTAAATGGAGAGAGAAACTTTGTTTATATGAATCTCAGTTGTTATAATTGTGTTACAGAATAGTTTATAGTTGGAATACTAAGTATGAATCTATTCAACAAAACTTCATTAGGCATTCTTATAGTTTGGGTCACTGGGTTTATCTTTTCGTAGCTTTAGAATTTCAGACATCTTGTATATTTATACAGGATGGATGAAATTCTAAAGCTACAAAAAGGTAAACAAATTGGGTTTGGCACTTAATGTGTTAGAAATATTTTGGTAAATTGAGATTTGCAAATGAATTTTTCAAAAGATAATTTATTATTCTTTCATTGATATGTTAAATGTGCTTTATTTCATTTCTCATTTTTATAAATTTTGTTCACAACATTTTATTTCAGAAGATTTTATCATTGTTTTGTTTTATAAGAATATTCTGAATTCCTTTCTTTTTGGAGTTTAATCTGTGCTCATCAGCTATGATAACCTGTTGTCTACTTTTTTGCATAATACTTAGTTTTTGAATTTTTATCAGGTATGTAAACTTTATTATTACTGTTTTTTTTAAAGTAACATTCATTTTCATCCATTTATTTTTATTATTATGGCACCAGTTGGTCACAATTTTGATCAGTGGTTAATATTTATGTATAAAGTTTTTGTAATTATATGAACTTTTTGTATATTTTTTATATAATGTACTTTGATTGTTTTCTTTCCCTAATACAGAGTGAAAAACCTTATACTAAACAAATAAATATATGAAGAAAATCAGAGAAATTCAGCAATGTATTTTATAAAAACTATTTAGATAATTATCTATATTACATATCCAAACTCCAGCATGTAAAGAAAAACAAACTATTTCCATGAACTTAATCCACCATCATTGGGTTATGGCCATCTTTGAAATGTAGAACAACATTTAACATGGAATGCTTTCTTCTTTCAAAACTTGGAATGTCACGTGTGCTGGAATTGTTAAATATTAATTAAAGATTGTGTTTACCAATGGCATGCCGTGACATTTGATGATAGGGAAGCTGTGTTTCTGTAAGAAGCCGACTTCCAATGGCAATCAGTTAATTGCGCGTCAGTGATGGTCTAGGATCCATTTGTATTCGTTTGTTCAATAAGCCAGAAAAAACTGTAGACTTCTCTAAATGTATTTTTAATATCACAATTGCATTCTGAATCGCTAGCCATGATATAAGGGCTACATTTAAAAATAAAATTATAAAAACTTACTTGGTAAAATAAAATGTGTGGTGGATATACATACCTGGTACAAAATATGTATGTATATAGGTATGTATATCCAGGTATGTACAAAATATTTTTAAAGAAAATTATAATTAAATATAGCTTTGTAAAGAAATGTACATAAAAATAATATAAAATCTTCTTTACTTTTTAAAATCTTAAAACAATCCACTTAGTCAAATAGCTCCCTATGAGTGGCTAATGAATGGAATCAGAGATGCCTGGTAGGTATGCAGTGCAGGCTGTCAAATCCCAAGGGTGCCGATACTGGTCAATGTCAAATGCCTGTTTAGTCGCATCATTAGTATACCTCAAAGGACGTGACAGGGTTGTTGTAAATTTTAAACGTTTCTCACTATAACTGTAAAAATCTAAACATGTTAAACTTAATAGATTGTCCATCATTTGTTTTCTAATTTGTTTTAGGACCAGGTGTCCACAGAAATTTCTAAAATTTACAACTTTTTGCTCACTCTTATTGAACTGGAAAAATTACTGTCTTTATTACATCTATTATCACGAAGAAATCAGTCCCCCACTGTACTCGGCTAGAGATTGGTTCAGTTAAGCTTTTGTTTAAGTAAAATTCCGAATCTTTCAGCAGGGTTTTATTTATAATAAGTTGAAACCAGTTACTCTGTACTTGAATATTTGTAGTCTTGGGAAAGAAGTGAAAAGAGAATTTTTATGGCAATGGATACACAAGTCATAAATTTAAGGAAAATAAATTTTGTACCTTGTGTATCTCATTCATTACATTTAGTTGTAAATGATGCTGCCAAAGTAACAGTTAATTTTTTAACATTGTATAAGGATGGTACACATTTTTTTCTGCACCCCCTTATAGATGGGACATACTAAATGGTAGTATCACTAGTTTAACATTGAAATTTGTAAGTAATAAAAGATGGGAGAGCAGAATAAAAGCAGAATAAATATATCAAATATTTTAATGAATTTTTTTTAAAACTTCTGTTAACTATACAAAATTATCATAAAAACATACCAGTAAATTCTTATCGGCTGGGTTAAGTTATAAATCTACTCATGATTCACATGATGGGGCGAGGGTGGCCAAATATCTAGCAGGCAAGCAGCTAACAGCCCTGGATAGAATCATTGGAAGCATTATGGTGTGTAGCATCCACCAGCTAAATTGCAAGAGGTTAGTGCTCTATAAAGCTCATTTGCAAATGCGTATAATCTGGCTGCTTTACACCATTCAGATATTTTCGCAGTGGAAGTTGACCCAGTTTTAACAATGCAGTGCTTCCATTCTGCCACTGATATTTGAATATACAATAGCAATCTTATCATTTTTTTCACATGTAGTATAGAAATTTGTAATAAGATTATAATAAAATATTAATGTGGTTATAATAAAATATTAATTTTAATTAATTCAAAGTATGTACATCAAAATATGAAAATAATCGCACAATATGTATTAATATTTTACAAAATACAAGGAAAGTGACGCTTCCACCACTTCCAAGGACAGCACACCACTGGTGTTTACAGAAACTCCATGATACAGGCCAGGAAAACCTTATCTGAGCTCCAGAATATATCCACAAGGCATGTAACAATCACAATTAACCAATCAGAATCAACCTTTAATGTTTAAATGATTCAGTGCACTGAAAACATTTGTTTTTCTAAATACTCACAGACACCTTGTGCACTGGTTCCAGCAAGTACTGTACATTTATTGGAAAATGTACCTGCAGGAAACAGTACAGGTGTCTGAGTATTTATATTATTTTCCAGCTTCTGAGGTGTTTTTATTTGTTTTTCTTCATAAATTAACCAATACATGCTAGAGTTTTGGTATGTAATACAGGTTTACCAGTTTATCCAGTTATAACCGTGGTGTTATATTTAGATAATTATTATTATTATTATTATTATTCTAGTTGAANATTATTATATAGTTCAATTTAAAAAAAAAATTAATTATTATTATTTTAAATTGAAATAATCAAAAAACTAAATAAATTAAATTATAAAATAAATTCATTTTACTATTTTAATAATTGATGCATTATTAATTATAATACTTAATGATCATAATCAAAGTAACATCATTCAATGTTGTCTACAGAGAGATTTAGCAGTCTAAAAACAACTAAATTTAGTATGGTCACATTTCAGGACATGGGGAAGATATTTTTGTGAAAAATTTAATTAATAAACTCACCACTATGCCACTTTTGGCATTGCAAACATTTTATTTATACAAGATACTCATGCTATACAGGGACCTCAACATAGTAGAGACCACAGAGCTCAATGTGGTCCCCATTGTAAAGTTAAAACCTAAAGGCAATAAAGTGTGTTCAACAATCAACTGTAATTAATCCTCTGCAATACCTCACACATGTACTGTAATATTGTCTTTCAAGTCTGGCAAATTTGCAATATGTCCTCAATAAATTGCACTATTTAAGTTTCTCTACAACCAAAAATTACATGGATTAAGATCTGGAAAATGAATTAGCCAAACAGTAGCAAGTACATGACTAATCAGTGAAATAATTGGTAATAATCTATTATTAGTGAAATGACATTAAAGAAATGTTGAGCATCTCTCAGTATCTCTGGGCTGTCACAGAGCATGACATAAGCTCATTGGGACTAACTTCATAAAAGAAGAATGGTCCAGGATAAATGTGGCTGTGAATCCACATCAAACTAACTTTATGAAATTGTAGTGGAATCTGCTGAAAACATGAGTTTTTCCATTGCCTAAAAGCAATAATTATGATGTTCACTGTTCCAGTGACGTGAAAATGTACCTCACTGCACCATAGGATCCTTAATAGTCATGACATCCAACTCTATTCTGGTAAAGAATGTCAATGCAAAGGTTGTGGCTGATCTTACATGAATGATAATGCACAAACTTTTTCAGTACCTTCCATAATATGCCATAGGATACAACTGAACTGCTGTGACAATGCACATGCATACTAGCCTACAATATCATTTATTGACTAGTCAACAACAGTTATGATAACATCTTCAAATGATTTGTTGAAATCCCAGACATTCAGTTTCCTCAAACTGAATGATCATTTTCCCAAGGATTTGTGGAGTCAATGGTTCTGGTCATAAATTCTTACAATAACAGTGCATCTGTAACATTGCCATTGTTTTCATAAAACTGCTTTAGAAGACTTGCAAGATGAGTGCCATCATAGCTAAAGAAATAACATTCAATACTTATGTGGAGAACTTGGCTGCAACATATGTGCTAATGCAAAAGAAACTGGTTTTTTGTTGCTTTCAGTGTTGAAAGTGCCACAGTGGTGAGTTTTGGCATTAACTTTTTTAGGAAGAGTTACTGTCATCTTTATATTCTAAAATCTCACCAAATTTGGTTTCATTTGGACATCTAAATCTCTCTCTAGACAATAAAATATTCAGACTAAAAATACCAATTTGAAAAATTAATTATTTTACACTAAGATTTACTTTAGGATAATATGCTTAATTGTTAATCACTTAGTTTTGGTTCTTAATTTTGTAAACACTTACATGAAATTTATTTATACTAATTATTATATTGTATGAATCAATGACAGCCAAGTTGCAACTAATGAGTCTTCTGCAACTCTCCAACACCAGTAATATTGAATATCTAAAATATCTAATCAGTCAAAAACTTTAAATAGAAAGCTTAAATAACAAATATTTCTTTGCAAGAATGTTAAAATTTTATGTTTGAATCAATAAAATCATCATTAATTCTTACACATTGTGCAGAAAGTAAGCTTAATATAATAACAACAAAGACAAATGTTTTTCTGATACCATTAACACCATAAAGCCACATAGCACATCTATACTTTTTCACGTTCTCTTTCTTATGCTAAAATGCAAGGAACATGTGTTTAAACATACAAATATAACAGAAGTAGACAACAGAAATTTAAATATAATTCTGTTAGTTATTTTCCTTCAGCTAAGTTTATTTCTTAAATGTAGCATTAGATAATCAGCCACACCTAATATTTATATAGAAACTTATTAAGCATTTCATCTTTCATATGAAAAATGCAGTCTCCAGAGTGGAGATACAATAATAGCAATAGCATACTTTATAATTATTTTAATCAATATAAGGCTTCCACAGACTTTAATAAATAATAATGAAAATTTAGACTCTAGTAGACAAGTATATAAACTATCCTATATCCTATACACTATCATACTATTTGTAACATTATTATTAACCACACTCACAATTTTTTAATATTCCTTAAGATGAGTACAAATCCAAAAACAATATCCTAAACAACAACAAGCAAAAAAAAAAAAAAAAAAAAAAAAAAAAAAAAAAAAAAAAAAAAAAAAAAAAAAAAAAAAAAAAAAAAAAAAAAAAAAAAAAAAAAAAAAAAAAAAAAAAAAAAAAAAAAAAAAAAAAAAAAAAAAAAAAAAAAAAAAAAAAAAAAAAAAAAAAAAAAAAAAAAAAAAAAAAAAAAAAAAAAAAAAAAAAAAAAAAAAAAAAAAAAAAAAAAAAAAAAAAAAAAAAAAAAAAAAAAAAAAAAAAAAAAAAAAAAAAAAAAAAAAAAAAAAAAAAAAAAAAAAAAAAAAAAAAAAAAAAAAAAAAAAAAAAAAAAAAAAAAAAAAAAAAAAAAAAAAAAAAAAAAAAAAAAAAAAAAAAAAAAAAAAAAAAAAAAAAAAAAAAAAAAAAAAAAAAAAAAAAAAAAAAAAAAAAAAAAAAAAAAAAAAAAAAAAAAAAAAAAAAAAAAAAAAAAAAAAAAAAAAAAAAAAAAAAAAAAAAAAAAAAAAAAAAAAAAAAAAAAAAAAAAAAAAAAAAAANTAAAGCATGTTTAGCCTCACTAATAAATTCAGCCCAATCCATAAACAATGTGAAATTTTAATTTTCATATAGTAAAGAGGCTAATTTTTAATAAGTCCTTAGGTTAAGCAAATGTTAATTCAAATATATATTTTTTTATGTATTGAAACATTTGGTATGCTACCAAGAATATGGATTTGTTTCTAATATGAATGATTTGTCTCACATTGAAGTTAAATAATAAAAAATAACAAGATTTTATCATTTTATAATACATGTTATTGTTTTAAACTTTCATAAATTACAGTAAAAGAAAAGTAAATGCACACACTATTTACAGGTTCACATTGAATTATGCAGAACCTGATTAATCATGGATCATACAATCAGGTTCTACTGTATTATTTTTGTGAACTTAATAGGTTGACTTGACCAGTGAATGAATACTACCATCATTAACTGAAATTCTAAGTTAATGTGTCAAATCATGGCTCAAATCATGCCAGTGAGTGAACAAGAGTAATTTTTAGACATCTTGTACCAATAAATAATTGTTTATGGTTTTTTACCAGTGTTGATTGAGTGGTAGTGGTCATTTACTGGGTTTTTCTGCCTTCATAAGAGCATGCTTCTTAGACACACAGCTATTTTTAGATTGTCTCATCTTTCCATAAAACAAATACTTTAAACATATATACAAGTTACATCTCATTAGTTAGAAAAAATAGCAGCCATAAAGGATAATCCTGAATTACATCTTTATCTTAAATTTTACTAGTTCACCCTAATAAAAAATACTTAATTTACAGACTTTGGAAAACCAATATCAATACAAAATCAATAAGTAATAGTTTAAATTATTGTTAAAACAATTATTTAGGTCTGAAAGTTATAAAAATATTGGTTATGGATTTTTTTGACTGTCAGTTTGTTAATGTTAGGTGAATGAATAGCACTAATATATATGTATAAATATGTTTAAAAATTTATATATAATATTTGTTAGGTACAATTTTAATTTTAAAATAACATTTGAAATTATTCAGAAAATTTCATTAAAAATATATTTATACTATTGATATATTAGATAGTTAAATCTAATCTAGAAATTAAAATTTCATACTCTCAACATTTCTTTTGATAAATCTTGCATAGTTTTGGCTATTTCAGGTAATTTGATTAAATTCTGCATACTTTTCATAACATCAGTACTTTTCTGAAGTGATCCTGATAACCTTATTGTAGCTGAAAAATATTAAAAGTTTTTAAAATTATATCTGAAAGTTAATTTTTAAATATTTAAAAAAGAATCAAAATTTAAATATCTAAAAATATATTTTTTGAAAATCTGATATTAATTTTTTCAGTCACTACAGCAATGCTAAATTATATAAAACTGTAAAATCAGAAAAATTTAAAATACTTCATTCACAATAGAGAACAAATAAAAAACTTCAGAGACTACCATAAATAATATTTAAGTTAAAAAGACAGTTCTGATAAATCTTAAAATTTTATTTTATTTTTTTAAAAGAATATTAAAAGTACAATTCAAATTTTTTGTTTTTCAAATCACTTAGTCCAAATAAGAAATGCTTAATGTATTTGGAACAATGGACATGACATATTTTTCATACCTATCATTTTATGTCTAAAGGCCAGTTCTGTTCATACTTTGTAGAATTAAAAATAAGGTGCTTGTTCTTCTATTATTTCCTACTCACAAGTGTTCATATTTCAAAAGAATGAAGAAAAAATATAGTTTCATTTTTAATACTTTCAATTTATAATAAAATTGGTCTTAGCTAGACTTAAAAACCTATATTGAAGGCATATTTTATAATTTCACTTTTTTTCAAGCTTTTCATGAATATCTGTTTAATAAACTCGAAAAGAGAAAATGAAAAATATTACAAACAGACAAAAGAAATTAGGAAAGATAATCCTGAAATAAAAACTTATCTAAAATATTAAAAGTCTAAATTAAAATTCATTCAAATTTGAACTATATTTGAATAATTATTTAATGAAAATGCAAGGAATTTTCAATAAATGATTATACAAATATAAAGGTTTAAAATTAAATAAATATCAATTAATTTAAAATTTTAAATAATTTAAGTTCTTTTTTATCTTTATCATATAAAATAAAGGCATTACCTTTTACCATAATAAAGTAGCTTCAAGATTGAATTTGATAAATATTTCAATAGATATTTGTATTATAATCTTTACTGTGAACAGTGCAAAGAATTGTGTGATACGAATTACAGAAAAATAGAATAATCTATTTTTAAATCCAACCAAAAGATAGTATGTCTTAAGTAATACACAATATCTCTTCTTTTCTGCTTCACAAAGTATTAGTTGGCATTAAGCCTTTGATCATAAAAAGATATTTCACTTTGATAAAATTAATTATTTCTTATCAATGGCTTTTCATCAAGATTTCTTATGCAATTAAAACACATTTGACAAAATGTAGTATATTTTTCTCCCTGTCAACTAAAACTTATTTTCCAGTAAAAAATAGTTGCCAATTTATTTTATAAACTGTTTTCAGATTAATATAAATAAATTTGTGACAATGCTGACCATTAGAGCACTGAAATAAATTACTGAATATTACCTTTAAACTCTATCAGTCACATAAGGAAAACTATACTATGTAAATTAAAATTTACATAATGTAGTTTTCCTTATATGATTGACATAGCAAATGGCTATTAATAATATAATTATTTAAACATATAATGATTGAAATACTTAATGTACTTAAGATAATGAATATTACTAACCTAATTGCTGATTCATGTTCATCATTACAGAATTTATCTGAGCTTTAGAAGCATACAATCGACTCACTGCTTTTCTTGATCGTAGAATTTCTTTAGCAAGAATGACACAAACATCTTTGTTATTTTTCTTTGCAGCATCCTTAAGAGACCTTTTAGCTTTTTCTTCCTCTCTCTGAATTGCTGAAATAAAAATATTTGCAAAATTATATTGGAATACTTACAAAGTTAAGATGTACAATAATTTTTCAGTTAAGTTTTTGTAATAAAGAATTGCTAATTTATTGATATTACCAATTTTTAAACTTAATAAACTTTTAAAATAAATTGTATGTTTTAAAGTAATAAATTTTCATATTAATTAGATACTTCTACAGAATTGATTTTCATTATAAAGTAACAAAATCATAAAATGCAATTTAAAAAATTTTATATATATACTTCATAATCTCAAACTATTGTAGGACCTGGTCTCTTTTTTTGTGTACATAACAAGTTTGAATATACAAATAAAGGAAGAGAGTATGCATAAGAAAATAAATTAAAATTATTATTTAAATTTTACGATTTATTAGTGTAAGAAAAATAAAAGATGGAATATTGTAATATGGAAAAGTAGATGAAAATTTTAGCCAAATGAAAATGCAAAATCAATTATATTTTATTGTAGTGAATTATACTTTTATATACTGTATATACAACTGGATGCAAAATCCAAACCATGTAAATCTTTAATATCCAGCAGAGAATTTAAAAATAAATGTTTTCAGCTAAACTTACTAATCAACACAAAATTAATATTCACATTCAAATTTACAATTCTGAATTATGGAATTTGAATATGTAACTTGATGATGGCTACTAAAATTAACCAAACATGGCTTTTTTTTGTTTTAATTCTCTGTTGAACATAAAAAAATCTATTATTATTATAATTTTTATTTAATTAGAAATCTATATATATAAAATTGCTTGTCCTGACTGACTGACTCACTGATTCATCATCGCCCAGAGCAAACCGCTGAACCTAAAGAGGTGAAATTCGGTACACAGTTAGGGTATGTCATGAAAACGCTCACTAAGAAGGGATTTTTTTTAAATTCCCCCGCAGGGGAGAGGGAGAGGATTAAGGCTTAACCGGAAGAACGGCTTCTACTGTACTATTTTACATGTGATTTTTTGTTTATATCTGCGTTTTAGTAGGGTATGCCAAGAGAATGCAAACTTGGAAGGGGTTTTTCGAAATTCCCCAGCGGGAGGGGGAGAGGGAGAGCATTAAGGCTTAACCGGAAGAACGGCTTCTACTGTACTATTTTACATGCGATTTTTTGTTATGTTTAGTCTTCATTAAGTATTTAAGTATATTAAATTAATAACATTTCAGACATTGTTATAAATATTTTTATATATTTTGATTTTTTAACCAAATGTTCGAACATTTTTAAATTCGAATTTGTTATTGCATATCAGTTTGATTATAAAACGATTGTAAACGTTCCAGAAAATTGATCAAATTGAAAATAGTTTGTTTGATTCTCAGCAATTCTCATTATTCTCAGCGGTAGGTGTTATATAACAATTACTATGATTGTTGAAATACTGAATATAAATAGGGTTTGCTTGCAAAACCTCTGCGGGCAAAGTCGCGAGTAACAGCTAGTAAAATATATTCTAATAAGTGTGATTGTATGACGCAAATGTTGTTGTGAAAATTTTAACACCCTTTTAATATTTCATAGACGAATCCTACAATAAAAAGTTAACAACAAGATCATTTTTAATGTGCAATTTTTAATACTGTTTATTGGTCAATTTTATAAAGTTTTTGCTTCAATTCACCTACTGTTTAGTCCCTGAATGGAGTGGAAGAGGATTCAAAGGACCTGAACAAGGTTCATATTGTCTTGATTTCTGAATGTGAAAATATATTCTATAAATATGTGTTCTATTTCATATTTCTTGATTAATGCTCTGCAACCATTAACTACTCAACTAGTATCTGATATTTCATTTCAAGAAATAAAAATTTGCCAATAAGTCTGAAACATCTAAAGGTGCTCTGAAATTTAATCACACAAAAAAAAAATTATTATGTTGAATATACAATAGATTTGTTAATTATAAAGCTAGAACTATCTTCTAGCTTTAGAGAAGATGTAGAGACACTGTTTCAGTTTTAGCTTTTCTAAAATTTTTTCTTACAGATGAATTCTTTAAGTGAATAGCTTATGAAAGTTTGCTGTTTACAACACAAAATAATCCAAGTAAACTTTTCAAACCCTCCATAACTGATATACAGAAATACATAGGTGTAAATGTACAAATTCCAATCATTATTATTTGTACCATAATGACAAAGTAGGAGATTACTGGCTTGATATATTAAGAAATGAGTTTGTGAAGAACACCATGTTAATAAGTGCTTTTGAGAAAAAGCAAGTCTTCACTTCAATGTTAAAGAAAAAGAAATACCTAAAGGTCAATCAGGCCATGATAAACTGTACAAAATTAGACCAGTTATAGATTCTTTTGAAAGAAGCTTTTTGTGAGGTTTCTAATAAGGTCCAAATCCTGCACTAAATTATGTTTAAAAGCTTTCCATTCAGGAAAGGAATTTTGTAAAATAAACACAATGCAAAGATAAAAACTATATTGATGTAAGTCTCAGATGATCTGAGCTCACATTGGACTGGAAAGATAAACTTTGACTTTGGTGCTCATAAATATGACAAAATAATGGCAAGTTCAAAATGCCATAAAATACTTCATTTAATAAAAATATCACAAAACACCTAATAGAAATTCTTAACAGACAAGAAAGAAAACAAGACTCATCAAAACATGAACAAAAGTTTCAAGGTTCGTTTAAACATCCTATGATCAAAGATTGAGATGTACAGTGTTGAGTTAACATTGGGGTGTGAGAAAGGTTGAGCTGCAATCAGGTCTAATTCTATCTGGATACAAAAAGGAACCTATCAGGGAGGACAGAGGAAGATTCAGTACCAATTGAATTGTTCAATCCATGGGTAAATTCTATAAAATCCACATCTTAAAGCCACAGCATGCTCCTCTCATTCTTCCCAACCGCATTTTGTTGAATATACAGTAGAGCGTCATTTATCCGAAAGCATTCCAGTAGGCAAATTTAAATTTTCGCTAGTGCTGTGGCGCTGCAATCTTTGGCTATATCTTGGGCTACTCCAATATTTTTTTGTTGGTGTGTGTGTTTTAGCTGGCAGCACTGGCACTTTTGTGTGGTGTTTTTCTGAGGACTGTGTGTCATGCTGAATCGAACATTTTTGATACTAGATCAACTTCTAAAGTATATTTTTTTTTTGTTTTTATATTTTTCAATATACATATTTATTTTGTTTGTAAAAAATAAAGAAATAATTTTTTATGATACAATAGCCACGATTATTATTTTAAAAAGTTTACGTTAGGCTTAACATCAACAAAAATTCAACATGAAATGACACTCAACAAAGAAAAATTTCAACATGGGATAAGTTAATATAAATATATTTTTTCATACATAATTGGTTATCCAAAAAATAAGTTATCCAAACAACCTCAGTCCCCAATTGATTCGGATAAATGACGCTCTACTGTATATTTAAAAGTTTCTTGTTTCCTGCAAGGCTTTGTCGTGATCTTGGATTTTAAAAATTTCCAAATCTTTTTTGGAAATAAATATTAATGTTCATTCTTCCATATAAAAATATGGGGAGTTTGCTATACATTTCTACAATAAACTCAAAATTGGAAATTTTTGAGTTGTGTCACTATTCTTGTGCACCAACGATATATAAATATATATATAGAGGAAAGAATAAGTGGCCATTACCTAAGGATACAGCCATGGAAGAAAGTGGGAAGGGGAAGGGGGAAGGAAGGAAGAGAACTCTTACACACATGCCTGAGGTCATTTGTTAGACATAAGAAAATACAAAATACACTGACCAAGAGACCAGTGGCACATTAATGAATACATAATTAGGACTGCATATGCCCAATTACTACAATAATACAAAATTCCTGATTTAAAATACAAACTACAACTAGTATGGCTACCCCCTCCATTTAAAAATACTATACAGTGGGCAGAAAATAAGAACATGTAGAATACAAACTGAACATATAGTATTACAGTAGAGAGTAATATACAATAGTAAAACATTATGTAGATGCCATTCATGTGAGAATTGCCCAAGTGTTGGCATCTTGCGTGTCAGGTAATGTCTTTTCTTGCTGATCTTGCCACACTTTACTAATGGCTTTCATTGCAAATCTGACATATTCCATGTAGATATTCCTGTTGTTGAGAAAGGATTTGAATGGACAGGACCAGGCAATTTGTTTTCTGATGAAAGAAGTGATCAGATCCCTGCAAATCTGATCAAACTGCAGGCAGTCAAAGATAATGTGGGTAGGTTACAGGGTGGAGTTGTCACAAGGGCAGGTGCCACTGCCCTGTCTTAAGAACTGGACAAAATACTACCCAAACCCACCATGCCCAGTGACGAGCTGGGTGATGGAGAAGCTGGGGACAAAGTGCAGAAGTAGGGTCACCTCTGGAAGGAATTGGTGCATGAGCCTCCCCTTGTCACACAAGTTCCAGTGGTCTTGCCATATGTTGTTAAGGGTATTGGATATCCAAATAACCCAGGATGGGATGCAGAGTAAGAAGGGTTACCTTGGTAACCCTTCTTACTACAAGACCAACCCAGGTAGCTAGATGATAATCTAGGTATGTAAATGACTAATTTTGTATCAATACACAAGAAATTTGTTAAGGTTTCTCAATTCTGAGTCTCCAGCACCAGAGATGGAGAGTCAGAGTCTGAGTTGATTTTAAAAAAATACAGACTTGGAAGTCAGGAACCAGGATCATGTATTTTTCTGATGACTCCTTATCCCTGGGATGGAGGGTTGAGAGTTGTGAGTCGAGGAGTCAAATCTTTTTATGGGAGTTGGGAGTCAGACACAATTTAAAAAAATGCCAACTCAGGAATCAGGAGTTGTGTATTTTTCCACTGATTCTCATCCCTGTTTGATGCTACAAATGTGGTTGATATCTGCAAACCTTTCTTGGTTTGGCTTCCTGTCAAACTCAGTATCGGGCAGTGACAACTAATGCCATACATTCTTCTATTGGTTTGTAGGGATAAATCAATATCTATATATAAACAAATGTACACAATAAGGTCTGACATTACTTGAAACGATATATGTAGAACAAGCTTCATAAATGGAGTTAAACTTTTTGTATTTTGTAACAGTGCTGCATTATATTTTAAAATATGATTTTGCAATAAGAGAACTATTTTGGTGTAAAATGGTGTATTGAAAAAAAATCAAACTGAAGTAAAAATGTGACAAGAATACAACTTTAATATTTAATTTCAACTATATTTTAAGGTTTTATAAAAACAAATCTGAATGTAGTTTTTAGAAGTTTATAGGATTGTTTAAATGTTGTCAATAAGTAAATTAAAAATGTCAAGAATGAAAAGTCAGTAAAATTAACTTTATATCATATGTAATATATTGTGTGTAAGAATTTTGTAACTTTTTTAATATGAATTTTTTAATGATAACTTAGAAGTGACTACATATATGAATGTCTGAAATGTGTCTGAAAAATTAATAAAGATTTAATCAAGTTTTAATGATTTGTAAAAGTTGGTTTAAATGGAAAAATGTTTCCTGGTACACATATTTCAAATATATTATAGTAGAGCCTCGAAAACTCGGCACTCAATAACCCGGCAGTCCAGATAACTCGGCCACATCCTGGCAGGGCAAAAAAATCCTTAGTTAATTAATTTTAATTATAGACAGCTTTATGCCTCAAAGTATTTTTCTGAGGTCTGTCTTATCAAGTAAATTACTGTACACAGTGTATTCATTAATTTTCATTTTCATGTAGTAAAGGCTCTATGCCTTCATAAAGGATATACTTTTCCTTTCTTTAAGGGTATTTGGGCAGTTTATTCTCTGTTGTATTCTCAAGCAAACAATACATACAAGTACAGTACAATATTTTCTGAGGAAACACGCATACTTATCCTTTTTTAACCCCATTCCCGATAACCCGGCATTTTCACAAACTCGGCCACCCTTCGGTCCACATTAGGCCG